CCCCAAAACCCCAAAACCCCAAAACCCCAAAACCCCATACAACGATTTCCCGTTAGCAATCAAAATATAAAAATAAATATAAAGCAACATGAAGTCAAAGGAGCCGAAGAAGGAACAATTTCAGTATTTTAAACCCAGGAAAGTCAACGGAGGAGTCGGAGCCAAAATGTCTCAGCCTTGAGCAACTCCGATCCGGCTCAAAAAGGGTCCTAATCAGCTTAACCCAGATTATCCCCAGAAGTCTTGCTTGATTGCAAACTCATATTCTAAACCAAGCGTGGCCGGAACCACTGAGAAAGCCAAGAAACAAGTTGGCAACATGACTCACGACAAGCGAATGTCATTGCTGGTGGGTGACCCCTCTTACAGCGACAGAGCCAACAAATACTGAAACCAGTTGCCAATTGGTAAAACGTATGCCAGCAAATGAGGGACCAAGCTTTTAAATTCAATGAAACTGAGTAGGCCTCCCCAAGCTAAGCAGCCAGGGAGCACCAGAAAAGGCCAGTCCAAAGATTACTTCGAACAAAAAGACAGCTCCATCATCGGCAGCACTCGCAAGCGACAGCTCAACAGGTCGCAGTCGAAGATGGCCCAGATCCATGAACTCAACCCCAACACATCGGTGAGTGACCTGAGAGAAAAATAGCGTCAACCGAAGAATCAACTTAAAAAGCATGACTTCGAAGAAACATAATAAGAATGACAAGTTCGCTCATCTCCGTCGCAAGCAGAAGCCTGCGCGCAAGAACTTTGCAGAACCATATGGTAAAGAAACTATCAGAGAGTTTACTTACGGAGCGAAGCCGCCGAAGTCGATGGCTGAAATACCCACTCGCTGCAGGGCTGGTAACAAAAGCATTCTTGAGACTTTGAGTCGGGGTCCACGAAGAGACCCTAGCTGCTGAGTCAACAGCGAGCAAGGCAAACAGCGCAGGTACACTCCTGTGGAACAATCAGACGGAGCCCGGCATGACAAAGCAGTCATCAAGGGTGGGCTCTCGTCTCGCAAACTTCACAAGTCTATTGAGTCAGGTTATGACTTGATCCCTGAACTTCGGCATTCTCCTCAGGCTATAGCAGGTGACGATGAGAACACCACCGAGGCACTCACCAAGCTTGACTTTGACTCAATGAAGGGGTCTATTGATATACGAGACAATATGGCTCCGAGAGTTGTGACTCCTCACAGCGATTCGGCTCAGACTTACGATCCCAGAATCGTCGACAAGCCTCCGTGAGAAGACTCAATCATCATGAGCGACATCTCCGATGACAAGAGCGAGTCGTTCGAAGAACCCGAGATTGAGCCGTTCCGACAAATGAGACGCGAAGTGGTTGCGTCTGAGATGGCGGAGTCACGCTTGGCTACACTTGGGAAAGGCGTCGTGAAGGCTGAACCTGACCAAACTCAAACACAGAATTCGTTTGTTCGGAACTTTAAGAGATTCTTTCGGAGTCCTTCATACTTCTGAGGATGCAGAGACGATCTTGACTTTCGTTGCTGAGAAAGGGCAGGCAGCTGGATACAGCTGGCTGAGTGCAAACCTAGGAGTCAGATCTCGAAAGACTACTACCAAAAAGAATACGATAGTTTGCTTCATGAACTCGAGTCGGGACCCGACATTATTGGCGAGACTCCCGGTCAAGAAGGCACACAGACACTCTCAGACAAACGAGAAAGCATCGAAGGGAACAAAATACAGATCATCAAAGACCTTGACAGGACCTTCGTCGATAGCAAGAGCTTCGGCACAGGTACTGACGGCAGAGACCAACTGATGGTCGTGCTGCAGCTGATCGGACTGAAGTACCCGGACATTGGATATGTACAGGGTATGAATTTCTTGGTGGCTGCAATTTTGTATCACTCTTCTCCACCGGTCGCTCTCGGAATCATGGAATATCTCATGGATAATTTAAAGATGTATTATGTCTATGGTGAGGGACTCAAAGGAGTAAGCTTTCATAATGAATTCCTTGAGATACACGTTAAGAAATACCTACCAAAGTTGGTGAAGCATTTAGAATGACATGACATTAATCTACAGATATTTTTCACCCAGTGGATTCTTGATTTATTCAGCCATATAATTCCGTTATCAGAGTATTCTGGATTTCTTTACAATCTTATGAAGCATAAATGGAACTTCTTCTACCGCCTCGTCCTAAATCTCCTGCAAAAAATGGAACCGGTCCTCCTTAAGATGGATGATTGAGAGAACATTCTCGAAGGTATTAAGGATTTCGCGATAAAGGTGAACTGGAAGAAATGAATATCAGAAGCTAATTCCAAGTTTAAAAACCTAAATGAATAATTTAACAAATTCAAATAAGTTATAAATGTTGGGGTTTTGGGGTTTTGGGGTTTTGGGGTTTTGGGG